TCCAGTAACCTGTAACCAAACTACCAAATATTATAATAATAAAAACAACATATCCAATCCCAATAAAAAACCCTCCAAAAGATATACCAAGAGAAAAAAAAACAAGCAAGCTTAAAGTAAAAGCTAGAAAAAACTGTTTTTTAAACTGCATAAATTCATTAACCTAGCACATCAAAACCACAAAAATATAAAACCTTAATCAGCACTAGCACACAGTACCCAATTATCCCATCAAAATATATAAAGACAAAATCTGTTTCTATTACTAGAGTAACAAAAAGATCACAAAGTTTTATTTTAGTAAAAACTAAAGTAAATCTAACTAAAAGGACGTCCAAAAAGCCACTCCATTGTAACTAGCTCAAAGCCCCCATCCAATTTCAGCACAGACTTCCTCCAAAGTCAGTTTTTCAAAAACCCAGAGAAACTCATGTAAACATTTAAAATAACAACTGTAAAAACAAAAAGCATCAAACAATTAAACACCTGACCTTAACTATCAAAAAACTCCATCTACAATAAAACTTCTTAAAATATCCCTAATAAATACCAATTACCACCTCAACAATACACCACCAGCAGCACCAAACAACCCAAAATAGTGTAATTCCCATCCAAAAAAATACATCATAAACTAAAACACCAAAAAAAACCCCCAAAACACACTCACTCTTCAACAAGCCCATTTAACCCATACCCAAATCTAAAACAAATAAAACTTAACTATAAACTATCATACCTTAAATACTGCCACATTAAACGCTAATACCACCATTAAACACTGCTGTATCAAATGGATTAGAACTCCAATACAAACTAAAATCCAAAGCAACAAAATAACACTATTAACATTACCAGTACATTTTTCTCCTTTCCTCTAACAACAAAATACAAACCTGTTTACTCTTACATAAAAAACATACAATACACCTAAAACCAACTACTCAAAAATAAAACTACTGCCCCACCATCTACCATAAACTCATCCAAACTACACTAAAAAAAGAGTAAAGCTCCAAACCATCTACAATGCATTCATTGCAGCATTGAGTAAAATAACACAGCAACAAAAATGTTTAAAACCAATTTCACCATCAGAAAAATTAAAAAGCCTACTCAAAAAGTCCAGTTCCTAAAAATAAAATAACAAAATAAACAGCATCAAATTCCCACCAATGTCATCAACAAAATCCCAATATCTCCACCAACCAATAAAAAAACTCAACAGATTTTCCCAAGCACAATAAGCTTTTAAAAAATGCACATTCCTATATACAACCCAATGATAAACCCTCTTTACCTAATCACCCACAAAAAGATCACTTTCCAATAAAACCCTAAAAAACAACAAACCGTGACCCCACTTAAACAAAAAATTGCTCAAACAATAACCCTGAACAGAGTCCAAACAAAATCACACATAAAAAATGTACTCTGCAACCAAGAACCATCATCTGTCTTTAAACCTTTAACAGAAAGTGCCTAACAAAACTCAAGGCCAACCATGAAGATTTTAAAGTAAAAACTACAAAAAAAAAAGAGTTAAAAACCGAATAAAAAACACCAAAAAACCCCACCAAAAACCACCAAAAAAACCCTCTCCACCAATGCCAAAGTAAACACTCAAAGAAAAAAAATTCCCTCTGCCCACCATGTCACCATCTCCACATAATGCAGATTGCCCTCATCACACAACACACTCATATTAAAACACTAAATCATCCAAAGATTTTAAAAATAATTACAAATTAACCTAAAAGTAAAAAATTTAGTCTCACTAACCAAAAAACCACCAAAGTAACACATATTTAAAAACTGCACCATGTAACCAACTACCAACAAAAAAAACTTTACACTCTTTTCACTAATGATTCCTATCCCATTGTGAAAATCAACCCAAAACTCCCCAACTATATAAAACCCCACAAAACAAATCACAAAACTACTAAAACAGTACACCAAACCAACTCACTAAACTCAAAGCTATTCAACTAGCCCAAAACATTACTAAAAAACCCCAAAATTCTACCTCTACTCTAATTTGTAAACAGCAACCAATACTCTATAAAACTAAGATATAAAAAACTAATTAACACTGTAGAAAAACCCAATTTAAGCTACTAATAAGTAAAAAAACTATCACTATCAAAGTAAAAAAAAATCCTATAAAAGTCCATCATATTAAGACCCATATTCTCAAAAATAAAGCTAATAAAAACCGCCAGAACAACAAACAAGTAAATCAAGCTACAAAAGTACAAGTATCAAAACCAAATTTAAATTAGCAACACAAAAGTGCTTCCTAACTATATAAACTCAGAGTGCCTCCAGTAATCAAAATAAAAATACCACCTGTAGGTAGACACAAAACCCAAGAGCAAAGCTAGCCATAAAGAGTATTTCTCAAGTTGTCCACAAGTGTAAAATATATACTACCATCAACCAAACCAAACCCCCTATAACATAATGAGCAATAATCCAAATATAAATAAAAAACCTAGCAAATTAATGACATTACACTACCCCAAACACACCAAAACAAACCCTATGTGCTCACAGCAGCAATAACCACCACTGAGCAATTTAAACCCTACCCTATAATACCTCACACTACAGCCCATTGCACCATCCTAAACCTTAAAACACGCATCCTTTACAAGCATAGAACCCTGAAAAAATTAAATCAAACCACAGAACTCATTTCAAAACCAACCTTATCAACACCTAAACGAAAAAATCTAACATTAAATAAGTGTATAAATAAGTATATACCATATCTCCTACCATACACCAACTACAAAGTAAAAAAGTACAATAGACTGCTAAAAGCCCCCTTAAAATATGGGGTGGGGGATCTTTCAGTAATTAAGAACAATCTCCAACAAAAGCCACCTAATTAAGACCCAAAGTTCCACTAATCCAACAAACCCTACCCAACCTAAACCCCTACATACAATAAACATAAGCAAAGTCCTATCAATGCATGTCAAAACTTTATTGAAAAAGAAGATTTAAATAAATTCTACCTCAAATAAAAAAAACCAAATTCATAAAGTTGTTTTTACTCAAAGACCAAGTGACACATAGTAAATAATACAAAGAATAAAAGAGCAACACAATGTATACCTCAAAAAAATCTAATTATTAAATAAGAACTATGGGTAAATATCACTGCTTGTTAAATGTTACTGCCATTGTCTATATATAACTGCATGCTACATATACTTATGTATAATATGTGTTTATAAAGTTAGAATATATAATAGTTTTAGTAATGAACCATATATAAAATATATGGCATATAAAATAAAAAGTAAAATATCCTAAAGTCACTTTATAATACTCCTATCCCCGTTCATCTCTGTAACTCAGAAATAAGTTTTACACCTTTAAGATTAGTCCTGAAAACAACAAAAGAACAAAATCCCAGAGTTTGTTTTCAAGAAAGCTGCACTCTCACTCCTGCACATTCCTACTGCAAAACAATTCTGTCTATAAAACACAACCAGACAACAAACCAGAGCTCTCCTTTATTTTAGTTAGTTTTAACTAACTACAGCAGAGAAGTTCCCTAAACTGGAGGGTTTTTCCTTTTCTTTAAACCTACTCTAAACAAAAACACCCCCAAAACCACCAAAATCCCACACCTGTACCCCACCAAACCAAACCTAAACCACAACACTTTCAATGCCAGAAAAATTAATAACAAACTGAGTAAACCAAGCTACAGCCCACAAAAAACTTGAGTTTATAACATCTTCTAAAGCAACGAGAAGTTTTAATTCTTCAATATTGTTCATTATTTGTGCTAGCAAATGGTTTGCCTATTAAATAAACATTTTTTTCCACTTTTCTCCAAAACATTTTTTTTTCCAAACCATTTAGGAAAAAGCAGCTTAAATTTGCTTTGTAAAGAAAACCCCTTTAAAAGTATTTCTCCTAAAATTACCTGAAAGCAAAACACATTCCTGTGTGCAAAGGGGAAGACTTAGAGAATACACAAATTATAATGTGCAAACATTCTGGTCATCTCTGAAAAGTCTTAGACCAGGGACTGAGGAATGGGAATTGATTCAGTAAGAAAATATTCTATAATTCCAATATATTTTATCATATTCAGTATATATTTCTGTGAGCTTCCACAGCACCTTTAAATTCTGGATGCATGAATGGTGTGAAGGCAGTCCAGCTTCCAGAGCTTCCCACTGCTTTAAAACTTCTTCAGTGCTTAAAAATTTCTTCATCTTTTAACAGGCCAATGAGCCTGAAATGAAATAGCCTAAAGCAACGACAAAATTAATCCCCCCTGTATCAATGTCCAACATACATTTTCTCTTCTAGGTGACGGAGAACAGAAAAGTGTCACAGAATAGAAGCCTGAGAAATGCATGATTTAAAGGTCAGCTGGAGGGAAGACAAACTGAAAACCAGACAAAAAAGCAAAGCCAGACTATACAATAAGATTATGATGCAAGATGAAAGGATGAAAATCACTATTTCCAAGTTTTATAGCTATACTGGAGTGTATGTGGATTCTGTGGTTTTGTTTTGGTTTGAGGTTTGTTTTAGGTTGTTGCAGCTTTTTTCTGTCACTCTCTGTGGTAGTTTAACACGGGAGACATCTATAGGTGTAATACCAAAGCTTCTACATATCTGTCTGTCAATCTCAAAATTAAAAAATTCTCAAAGCAAAACCACTACACTCTCCAAAATGGGAATTCCTAATTTACACAAAGCCATTACCCTGCTGAGATCAGAAACAGCACTTGGTGCCTATTATGGTTCCTGGACTTCTTCATCTCCATGAGGGTGGACTCTCACCTACAAGTCCCAATCTCAGAAAGATGCCCCAAATCAGGCCAAAAGGTCAGAAACTTTCATCCATTCCTCATCCTGGTGCATTATTATAAAGCCACACATATGGAATAATTATAAAACTACATGTATGGGATTATTATAAATCCACACATATAAATATGGAGAGTAAACATAAAACTCACTTGGGAGGAGACATCCAGAACACCAAGCTTCAAGGTCTCTAGGAACAAGACTTTCCTGCTCGGTGAGTGCATTGCCAAAAGAATCCAAGCCAGCTGCCCACTATGAGCTGCCTTCGGGAAGAGTTTCTTCCACCCTTCTGTTCTCTGCTGACCACACAGGCTGCCAGGAGGGCTGCCCTCCTGTGTCACAGCACATGTCCCAGCTGAGACAGCCACCACACCCAGAGTGCCACCACACCATTTCAATTCCAGAAAGCTTCAGCCCAGAGTAACACCACAGCACTTTAGGAGGCTGCAAGCTCTGCTCTTTTTGTCCTTCAGCCCAGCCTTTTATGCCCTCCTGTTGATGCCCTGCCCCTGTGTGCCCTCTGCTCCCTGTGTGATTGCTCAGCACCCCTGGGCACTCCCTGGCTCCTCACCCTCAATAGCATTCACCTGTCCTGCACAGCTGGAGACAATTAGGGATGAGGCTGGGCCCCAATCACCCCAAACTCTGTGCCCACAACTGCATTCTAGTGAGTGCACTAGTAATTAACCCACACTGTACAGACCTGCAATGTATTAAAGCATTAAAATAAATTTAAATAATTAAAATACTTCAAATACTTGCTTTTTATATACTCAGCCCCACTCCCAATCATCACAAACTCTGTGCCCTCAAATGATATACAAGTACAACCCCCAAGCTTCCCCCTCCAAGGGAGTCCTTCCATGACTGCTGTCAGGTGAAGGTAGCACCAGGTAGAAAATAAAAATTCTCTCCCTTCCCTTTCTTTCAGGCTTCCATCAGCAGCTGCTGTTGGGCACTGCTGGTGCCTTGTGAAGGCTGGCCTAGAACAGAGGCTAGACAGAGTTAAAGAACAAAGTATTCCACAGATCTGAGTAATCAGTTTTGAACTCAACTCTTTTGACATCCATCACATTTTAAGCTCCAGACTTCGTCATCACATATGCTATTCAGGGAGGAAATGTCATGTGTTTTGAACTTGCCATTTAGGTCTCATACAGCAAGAAGCAGTGAATAATTGTTGCCTAGTCCCTTTTTCCATGACTTATTTCATACACTTTGAACAGAACTCCTCACTTCCAGGGTGAAGTGCTCCTAAACTGTTATTTGTATTCAGGCTGTTCACTGCTTTAATTGATCCTCTCATCCATTTTTATACTCTTTGTAATCCAACCACATTTATTTGAAATGTATAGGACAGCACCAGGACTCAGGCAAGGAATTTGCACAAGGGTTTGTTCCTCATGGGTTTTTGTGCTATTTTGACCACAGAGATGATGCTCTCATGGCATTTTTACAATAACTCTAAGGTCTCTTTCCTGACTAATAATATCTATTTGAGAACCTATTGCCACATATGTACAGTTTGGGCTGTGCTCCTTCTTGAGTTCCATTTGTTATTTTATTGCCCAGTACTTCAGCAACTAACATGCTTCTCCATCTCTTCTTTTGTTCCAGCTAACTGAATAATTCAATTTCAATAATTTTTGTCAGTTTACCCTGGAACCCCTTTTTGAAATGATTTGTGGCTCTATTAAAGCCTCTGAAGTGCCCCTGGAGCCTCTGTCCCAGGCTGGCAGGGGAGCCAAGCACAGGCACAATGCTCCACTCTGCCCTAACCCAGCTGCTGAGAGCCAAAGGGGCACAAGCCCCAGCTGGGGGAAGGCACAGGGCTGTCTGAGGCCAGACATGAGGTGAACATTTCATCTTGGCCCTGCCTTCATCTTGGAGTTTCCATCTGAACACTGCTGGAACCCAGAATGGGGCAGTGCACTTTTCTATCTTTCTTCTTCTAATTCCTCCTTCTTGGAATTTCTTGAGTAACTAAAAATCAAATGGGCTTAAAGTTTGCTAAGTTGAATGGGCCAAGTTAATGGTCTGAGAAGCATTTATGTTGATTGAATGTTGTTATAATAGTACAAACCATAGCCTGCAGCCTTTGAATGTTTTTGTAAGAATTTCCCAGTGGGATGAGATGTTTAACATCTTTTTCACACTTGCAACACTGACACAACTTAACCCTGTGTGGTACAACAGTGAAATCAGCAAAATGTGTACTTCAGATAAATGCTGCTCCTTAATTAGTTTGTAAAGACAAGCCAGCAGGTAGCAGAGTAGATTGGCAAGGAAATGAAATGAGCTATGTCACACCTCCACTGCTTCCCAAACACACATTGCTTTCTACCTAACTGGCAATCTGACAGAAAAACTTCTTAGGTAATGAAAAGTTATGAGAAGTTTTGTGCCAGTAATGTGTGAGAAATGTGCTGGGAAGCACTTTCTGCCTATGAAGTCTAGATATGCTTACACTAGGTAAGAAAACAAATGCATGTACAATTAATAGTGCAGAACATTACTCAATAGCAATATGAAATAAAAATACCTCCCTTCAATCTGCTGTATCTCTGGAAACAATTTATGCTAGCTATAAATGGTAAATATGTACCTAGCTAACAAATCTATGATCAACTTCTGATTGAATCACTCTCAAATCACAGGTTTTAATTTTCTCAATACCTTTTTTTTATCCCTGCAAGTGTTGCAACTGAACCAAGTGATTCCACTCAAGTGCCTGCCAAAGCCATTAAGAAAACATGGGATTCATCAGTTTTATGTTTTGACTATCAAAATGGTGCATGCACAAGCTTGTCTCAGAACTTTTCAAGATTGCTGTGGACATTTGTGTGTCTTACATGTCATGAGAGCAATGAAAGTAACAAGTATATTTAGCAAAACCCAACATGCCTCTTGTACACATGACAGCAACAAAAGAAGCTCCCTCTACATTTTACAACAAACACTGAGAATCTGAAAAAAATCTCAAAACTCAAAAATAGTCTTTACAACTTCAGCTGTATCAAAATCATAAATTCAAATTAATTCCAAAATCTTGCTGCTCATCATGATAGGGAAATATTGAAGTGACCCTCCCTCTTTGTTCTACTGAAATGACTTCACCTTGCTATGTGGACACATCCCAAATCCTAGTTTTCAGGCTTCACAGAAACCTTTTCCCAGTTCTCATTACACTACAAGATCCCAGGCTCACCACATATCAACCATAATCCTGTTAGAATGCAACTAGGAGGATTCAACTTCTCTCTCTTAGTATTTTTAACTAGCAATGCCTATTTCTTAAGAAATTATTTCCTCCTCTTTGAACTTCCCCAATGAAGACTGCTCCTGCACCACGGTCTGCTCCTCCCAGAGGTGGTCCTGGAAATTTCTGCAGGCAGCTCCCATTTCCTTCTTCAGAGGCTTGTGAAAAATGCTCCTTCAATGTGTCAAGCATGAATTCTGCAGCACAGTAGTGAACTGATCAAACTCTGGGAAGCTCCTTGCTTCAGACAGTTCTGACACCACAAACTGCTTACAGGACTTCTTCCTCTGGCTCTCACAGACTGGAGAAATTCACTTCACCTGCACAGGCCCAACAGAGCAGAATGACATTCTGAAGGCTGGGCAGCCTGTCAAGGTTACAGCACAGCTATACATTGCTCTGTCTCTGAACATTAATGATTTGCTAGAAGTCATTATAAACAGTATGTACTTATAACAATATTTGTCAAAATATATTTAGAAATTTTTCATAAAAGAAAGGAACATCTTTTGCTAGAAATACATTTCACATTACATTGCTCTTAATATTAAATTTTATTTGCAGTCATTAATAAAAGACATTTACAGCTGAATTAAATTGAAAAAACAGAACAGGAACATTTACAACCAAGTAACAGACAAAAAACCAGAAAGACAAAAAAAAAAAGGAAAAAATGCCAGTTTTGGAAATATTTTTCTGTCTCTTGGAACTCCACAGGTCACCCATAGATGTTAACAATCTAAGAGCATCTAAGGCATTGTAATGCTAAGCATGAACATGTTCCAATATTAGCATCTGCCTAACTTGCTTCCAAATGAAAATCTATTTTAACACAAGGAAGCCACTCCAATGAAAATAATTTAGGGGTCAAAATAACTTTTGTAAGATTTCCACCACGAAGCTCTCAAAACTATTTACAAGAGGAAATCACAATTAATCCTATTCACATTTGCTATCCATCAATCCCGCTTGAAATAGGGATGAACTCTGAACTAAATCCTATTTTTTTTCTTGGAAACACGAAGTAAAAGATTTTTTGATTTAACATCCAGTGGGACATTTCCTTGAGAAAGGCTTCTAATGAAGTTCCTTGGCACAATCTGTTCTTGCTTCCTGCTCTTCATTTTAACTCCTAGTGAAGAAAGAAATGCTATTAGAAACAGAGAGAAACTCCTTTAATAAACATAAGTAGACAGTAGCTGACATGGACCTCCTTTTCATAATAGGTCTAAGAGTTTTTACACATTCCTTTCCTTTACTGAAAGCCTCATTTTAATATGCAAACATGTAATCACTCTTAGCTCAGTAATGCAGTGTTTTAATTGTCTAGAAAGTTCCATGATTAGACCCTCAACTGACAGGGGATGCTATTAAAAAAGCACAATGGTCTATCAAAATATGTAGAAATATGAAAAAATGTTATTAATCCTTCTTATTATAGAATAGCATTGAAAAATAAACACTATGTTATTATAGAAAGTTTTGTCTTTTTAATCTGAAAACAACCCTCTCTCTTAGGTGTTTGGTTAAGGTTTATTCTGCTCTTGTAATGCATGCTCTCAAAAATCACATCTATTAATCTTTGATTATTCAGTTCAACGCTGAATAATCAAAGTTTTATTCTCATTTCAAAATGTGCTTCTGCACTCCATAGCTCCTTAATTCCAGAGTTGAGATTGAAGAGTGGAACCTTCCTAACCTGATCTGCTGGAGCAGACATAGGAGCAGACACAATCTACCTAATAAGTCACTTAGACAGAGCTTGACTCAGATATTCAGTTTCCAGAAAGCTTCTTGTAACACAACCTCAACATTTCCAATGAATACAGAGTCAGACCTTTTCCCTCACATTCCCTCAGCAGTTTTTATTTAAAAACATGTATGTGCTGTAAAACCAGTGTATTGCCCATAGCACTGGAAAAAGCTATACAATGGAAATGTTTTCTCACATTGCTTTTCTATTTCATAAGAAAAGCAGACTAAAATTTTAAAACTAATATTGGATCTTCTCTGGATAGCCCATTAAGTGTATCTCTGAAGACAGAGAGGAAAAGGAGGCCGAGATGAAGGAAAATTGTACAGATTTAGCATATTAAAATCTGCTTCAGGTGCCAAGTGACTTGATGCCATGCACTAGAAAAGGCAGAGGTTTTTATAGAATTGTGAAGACATTTGTGAATATTGGCTGAAAAAATTATTCTAACTGATTTTATCACAGAAAAGATTTATGCACCTCAGAGAGAAGCCATATAATTGACCAAACTCTCACACAACAGAACTTGCTAATATTATTATCAGCAGTATGTTAAAAGCAAAATAATTTTGCCTCTGTTATTGTTTTTGCCCAAACTAGTCCCAAATTTTAAGACCAATAAACCTCTGAAAATACATTTTATCTGTTAAAACAAATCAGTTTGGTGTTGTAAAATAAAGCAAAGAATTAAAAACTGGTATGGAAATTATTAGACAATTGTATTTCTTGATAAGCCACACTTGGGCAAAGACATAATTAGTAATAAAAATTTCTCAACAAGTTAATAAACTATTCTGATGGAAGACCTTGACTCCTGGGAAAAAGCGTTTCCCAACAACCTTGTAATAATATTGAATTGAATTCTGATTAGTTACTATCTGTATAACTGACATTCTGACTCTTTTTTTAAACAAAAACCTACTACTCAAATCAATGGCTTAGTACACTGTTATAGCAACATGTGCTATTAAAGTGACAAAATTAACTGAGAGACAAGTGCAAAATTAATTAACTTGTACAATCACTGTTACCAAGGTGATGCCTGTCCCAGAAACGGACACCTTGTGCAGGCTGCCCTAGAGCAGGGGCTGGGCAGAGCTACAGAACAAAGCAGGGATTGATTCAAAGCATCTCCTCCATGGATCCACCTTGGGCAGCACCAGAGCCCAGCCAGGGCTGCACCCAAGATGAACCAAAATGGCCCCAAAATGCAGGAGCGCTCCCGGGCTCTCTCCCTGGGATCAGTTCTGCTCCATTTGCACCTTGCAGTTCATTGTCCCATTCCAGCTTTAGCCCAGGCACTCCCACCCTGCTTGTTTTTCTCTCTGCAGCCCACGGGGTTTGTGCTCTGGGGCTGAGATTGGGATCATTTGTCCTTGGTGCCCAGCTGGAGCAGGAATTGTTTTGTCTCCCTGCTCTGTGCACAGAGCTCACCATCCCTGAATATGGAGCTCAGACCCACAGGCTGAAGCAGCACAGAATGTGAAAAACACCAAAGCCAAGGGCTGAGGCAGCCAAGGCAGTGTCCCCAGGCCAGCCCTGACACTCACCAGCCCCCTGGGGCACTCTCAGGGCCGCGTGGCTCAGCAGCACGTCCTGCCGAGAGCGCTTGGCAGCCACCGGCGCCTGCAGGCTGCCCAGCACCGCGTTCGAGGTGGAGCTGCAAAAGAGCCACAAAGAGTTTGCCTTCAGTACAGCCACTGCTCAAAGGGCTTCTGGCTTGCAATGTTGAAATACTTTAAATATTATCCAGTGTTCACAGAATCATAACAGAACGCAAGGAATAAACTAATTTATTATGTATATCTATGGATACTTTGCCCTTTCTCCTTTTTAAAAATTTACAAGAATGCTTCAGCTGTGAAAATAAGAACTAATGTTGGCACTTGTATTCAAAGGCAGGACGATATGTCACAGTTTTGTTTGAAACCATAGAAGCCAGTTTGATGGCCATCATATACAAATTATACTAAGAAATAATCTTAAGGCATGTTACAAAACCCTTGAAATGACCAAGCTGTGTTTATTGAACAAATCACATTTTTTTATTGCTACAATAACTTTTCTACAGCCTCCAACACAGTTGGAGGGGGTGGCTTCATAGCAGACAATACTTTTTAACTAAGCTGCAAGAAAACTATTACAGCTTCAAATTCATTAAAACAAAACCTCTATATTTTATCCACAGCACTTTATGTGATGGACTTAAGGTCTACAGTGAAAATTATGAACCTATCTGATCTAGCCCTTCTGCAATTGCCTCACAAACTTCCTCGGTTCCACTCTGCCAGACAGCCTCGTAAACAAGCTAATGGTATTTATGTCCCAAGTTCCTAGGCTTTTCCTATTCCTGTAATAAATATTGTATTATTTCCACTTTAGAGTCCCCTAACTCACACTTTCTTAATAATAATTTTCTGCCTAAATGAAAATATATAGCAAGCAGCAAAGACTAAGACTTTCCTTGTGCCAGTCCTAAAAATCTACTCATGCATGCCTCTTTCATGAGAACTTATGCCAATAAAAATATACCATTATTTGGTAAAATAGTCTCTTATGACTGACTTGCCTCTAATCCCTTGTCCTGAAAATACAACTGTTTCAAATTATACTCATAATGCAGACCATATGACTGAAATTTATATTTTTATTCTAGCATTAGTAGGAGATGAATGACTGGATTGAGCCACTTCAATTAGGGAAAGCATGGGGGAGAAAAGAGGGAAAAAGTAAAGAAGAGAAAGGAATAAAGGCACTCTGAAAAGTAAGAGCGTACTCCTTTTCTCCTTCAGAAATGTGTTTTTATTCCTTCTCTTCATCACCAACTGCTAGGCAAAACCAGAAAAAAATTAATTCTACAGGCAAGTTACTGAGGCACTCTATAAAAGGAACGGAAGTTGTGGGATTCTTCTGTAGCGTACTAGGAAATAAGTTTGAGACACAGAAGGAACAAGGTGAACAGAAACAGCTACTCTTTTGGGAAGAAATAAGCATATATATAAATGTTTTAAAATTATTGCACAGTTATTACAAAAAAAAAGTACCTCAAAAGCCTGTCTGAGAACTTTTACCTTAAGACTAGACAAATCAGGCTTCAAAAGTTCTCTCACCCTTCCTTAGAGAGAAAGTAGAAAAAACTAGCTTGCCTTCAGAGAACAGCTGATTCATTTTGCTAAATTCATAATCAGCTATTTGAAAAAGTGAACAGCGCCTCCTTTCTCATTCTAGAGCAAAAGAGTTTATTCCTCCTCCTATCAAGACAGTTTAGAACAGTAATTGATAACAATCACAACAGTTACATGAAACTAGACCAGATGACTGATCTTTGAGGATAATTCTCTATTTTAAAGGTGCTAATAAACAAAAAAAGCACTAAAGCTTCTTCCATGTCTGGTAATCTGTCTTGGGATCAAGACAGATGCCTCGTACCAACAGTGTAGAGATATTATTTATAAGACCTGTGCAGTGGTAGCTCCACTCATGTCTAGCAACAGGTCATTTGTAACATGATTTTAAAAATGGTTGTATCAATTTCTGCTTTTGGAAATAGGAAAAAAAAGACCAGTTGTTTCACAGCTCATCAGGTTTAAATACAGTAAAAAAAAAACCCAAAACCAAAGAAGTACATACACAAAAAATTACAATTTTCAACTTAATGTCTATTCAGTTTCAGCTTTTCTGGTGTTCCTGCTAATAAATCTCTTTTAGGGTCATAAACAAAAGTTCTTCCTAGAGCACACTGCAAAAATTAAGTTGCAATATGAGACTGAAAATGAATTATCAGAAAATCAAAGCTGATCACCTAAGTATTGTCATGTATATTTTTTTCCCCTGCTTTCTATTTTGGTAGTTTCTAATGTGCTCCAGCAAAGGTAGAACATTCTCAAAAAACTTAGATTTTTTAATTGATGACAAAATTTTTCTTTTCAGAATTATGTGCCATAGAACACATCATATGCAGGTTCAGATGACTTGTATTAGAGGTTTTCAGATTTAAAACATTAGAATGAAACTGAAGCGAGAACATAAGAAATGAAAATTCATTTTGTATAGGATTTTGTATAGGATTTTTTTAAGGATTAATTTAATCTTACCTTAGTATCTTTCTTTTTCTCTGAGCAGCTGAAGTCATTGCCATATATGAGGGCTTCTCAAATACTGGAGCAGAATTTTTGCTTCTTAGGGAAGAAAGATCAAGTCTGAAATAAAAGAATTCTAGTTTTGTAAAACGTATTCTCAGTAAAAGTCAAGTAAATTTGTTCTTAACTGTAAACAAATATATGGTAAGTTGAAAACCAAAACTGGAAATTAATTTCATTAACGTTATTTGAAGAAACTTTGAAGACTGAGTTATTTTCAAGAACTCAGCAGCTTTAAGCATGGCATTTCACAATGTGGAGAGGTTAAGTATCCATTTTACAAACAGAAAACATAAGGCTTAGAGAAAGTAACTTGCCTAAGGCATCACAATCAATTTAGAAAGTGTGTTATTTTTTTTTTTGTATGTATCTTCTAAAACGGGATAAGCTTTCAACTTCATTTGTTGTCACTAACATACTACTCTTTTAAAAATAATGGCAGAATTGAATTTGATGTTGATCAAAATGGAGGGTTTGATTTTCAAAATTTTAGGTGTATTTATAAAATGGATAGAAATGGAAAAACCCAGCTGTAAAGACAGGCAGGATTAAATGACTTGGTAATGTTTCTCACCCATAAAAAAGGAAAATACCTTTGCACAATGCTATTGCTGCATGGCTGTGACTCCTTCACAGATGAGTAAGCAGACATTTCAGCTGTTTCATCTGTACCTTCATAGAGAATGATAGTGGAGTTCATGAGAGTTTGGGGGCTCTCTGGGATCACGTCACACGTGGTGTCCATGATGCTGCCCTTCCTGGCAGCCACACCTGCACTGCAGGCACTGACTGTCCCCAGGCCTGCCAGGTGCAAAGGCCCCTGCAGCACAGCCTGAGCACAGAAGCTGTGCCCTGGCTTTTTGCAGGAGTCTGGAGTATCCACCAGAGGGTACACCTCCTTGGCCAGAGAATCCTCCAGGTGCTGCAAGCTGCACTGGCTGGAGGCAGGAGGGCTTGGAGCTACCACTGGAGAGTCCATCAGCTTCCTCCTCGTTCTCTTCTGTGGTGGTTCTGTGCATGCTGACACCTGTTGGGTACTGTTACTCATTTCCTGTGACGGTGTACCAAGAGAGCTGCCTGTAAAACATGAGTAATGATGGTTAGCACATCTAACTGCACATACCGCTCACAGCTGGCTTTTCCCCTCCCCTTCCCTAGTGAGACATTAGCAGAAATTATCACAAATACTGTTGATTTCATATACCTATCAACTTGATCATGGAAGTGAAATTATTTCTATTGCAGCATTGTCTAAGGTGGCATTTGCTGTGACACACTGTTGCCATATTTCTCTTCACAGAGAAAAGCAAGGCACAATTCTTCCCAAAGATTTCTGAGATTCACATTCTCTGAACCTCAGAGAAAGGGAAAACACAATTCTTATCACTTGCTCTGCTTGTGTTGTGCCAAAGTAGAATGCAATATGGAGATTGTATACCCAAAGTGAGGATGTTTTGTTTCCTTGGCCTGTCAGGGCCAGCTGTGTGTGTGGGGGGGGACTGTCAGCTCACAGTCACGAGATTCCGGGCAGTGTCGGCAGATGAGTGCAGAGTGACTGCCTGGCACATTCAGTTTAGATGAAATGTATATAGTATAGAATAATAAAGTAATTAATTAGCCTTCTGATATCCACAGAGTCCTCCTCATCATTCTCTCCCCTTCATTGGAGTCACCTTTGATTTACCATAAAACTCAAAATATTACAAACGTGCATAGGTTGGCATAGTTAACCCCAGAGGTTATAGAAATAATCACAACTAAGATCTGACACATGACAAGAGGGAATGCAAGAGTAAGAGTATTGAAAATTATTGTACCACCATGACAAAACTCCTACTTTAAGGTGGTACAATCACAATAACCTAGAGCTGACTCCTGACCACAGCAGTTTTTTCCCCACCAAGTACCATGCAGAATAATGAGAAACTGTTGAAAAAGGAATGACACAGAACCATCTTGAAGGACAAAATTTTCTGACACTGCAAATGAGGAAGCAGTATTTTGCAACAAGGCAAATAAAGAAGTTAAAGTTACTAGGATTCTGTCACCCTGCTGAATCAACTGTGGGGAGCAAAGCTCTTGACTAACAACTTCCCCCACCCTCAAAAAAAAAGCAAGCAATACAGTGTAATTGGCCATTCTCATTCATCCTGATTTCAACTACTTTTCTTGAAGTGTCATAATGGTTTTATTTTCAAGTAAGTGGTAATAAAAGCAATGTCCAAAGCAAGACAGAAAAGGCCTTTCTCTTTCTCAAGCTTTCAGTGAAGGAGGATCATTTTAAGACACAGCTCACTGTTCAAATGGTGACTTAAACAGTTATAATACCAAAAAGCTGTGGAATTTTTTTAAACAAATCAAGAACAGGAGAGGGCTGTCAAAACCCAAGTGCTTCTATATTTAACTTCCAGTGTAAATTTAAGAAATGAAGCCTAGTATCCTTAAAATGCCTATGGATTGGATCCCCTTCAGCTGGCAGCCAGACTCATACTCCTCTTTTCTGCATTGCCTACTTCATGCCTATGAGCAACTCAACTGTAAAAGAACTCCTGCTTCTTAAATTGATGCAAGTTATTCAGGAATTAGCTACAGTATTCCTACAACAGTGTTGATAAATATTTATTTCTTCTAAATTTCATTCTATTTTTGCCTCAGACTAAGAAAGCTAGTTTGAACTCCTCAGTCTGAATGCTTCTACAGTTCTCTCTCATGTGTTGACACTTAGGGCACTTTAACTGTTCCAAAAACATTCTTTGAACACGACAAAGATTGATTAAGAACATGTATGCATGTTCTTAATGTACTATTTCACCTCCACAAGTTTGATTTGTTACAGAAATCAAGGCTTAAATGGTTGTAGCTTTTTCTCAGGCCCCATTTAATGTTGACCTCATTGCTCAGCTGCATCCAAACTTGCCAAGGGGCTTTACAAAAGCCGATTCCCCAAGCACAGAAATCAGATATCTTGGGAAAAGGCCCAAGCAAGGTCCTCATGCAGAAAAGCCAAGGAAGGTTGAGCCCAACACTGGTTTTGGTACACACCTTGGAACCAGACATGCCATATGATGGGATACTCAGCTAGGTGAGATGATGCCCAGTCAGAAGACAGAAACCAGAGCTGTAAAGGACAGCCAAGGATTTAACAACCACAGTGAGACCTAGACCTGTGCCAAGAGGATACAACAGGTAGTATCAAAGTATGTACAAGTACCAAGGAAATTAGATACAGGCCACAAGTCTTTTTATGTTGTCACAACTTAATTCAATAATGAAACCATTGAAAAAACAAAGCAAACACTAATTCCTCACTCAGAGGCTCAGTGTCAGAATGAGCAATGTTTAAACTGCTCATGGGAAAAGCAGTGTGGACAACTACATGAACAATTCCATGACATTGCTTGGAGCTTTGAAGAAACACATACATGGAAAACTTGGGCCTGAGAGGACTACCTGGCATGAAATAACTGAATTGTCAATTTGTCTATGTGTGCTCTTATGAACAGCTCACTTAATGTATGTAAAGGACCTTTTCTTTGTTAAAATACAAAATATATTGTTATCTTATACCACATCTAATCCGCAGCCAGCTTTCACCAGGTGAAATGCAGCAGGTTGCTGAAATGCTGACTGTAATCTAAACATTAAACTAATTCAGGGCCTGAGTGTTCCCCAAATAATCTTCACCTCCACCCAAAATAAAGAAGGCCCACTGTGATAAAGACATACTTCTCCAAGACTTGGTTGGATATAGTAACAAACAAGAAACTTATTTATGAACAATTTCAAACATCTACTCTCTATCCTTCATTATGTACTTGCTCTTTAATTTTGTTTCAGTAAGTAAAATATATACCTTAATGTAATAGACTGAAACATTTAAAAAAAAATTCTAGTCATCACAACCAAAAATTGAATCCAAATCTTTTTTAAAAAGACTTAACATCTTATATTCTTAAAAACAAAAATAAGGTTGATATAATCTAGTGTTTGAAACAACTATCCATTAAATGACTCAGGACACATTTAAAATATTCATTTATTAGTTTTTACTCCTATTTATATGCATCTGGATGTCTGTTTCAGGAAAAATAATGGTTAGAATTCTATTAGTCCATTGCTACATTAGGACAGGGAGGTTTCAGTTTCACAAAGTTTGCTTACTGTAAGACACTGAGGTTTTGCTAATGTCCTAAAGTTACTAGAAGGAAGTCTGATGGAGAAACATTTTGGTGGGAGTGCCAAGGTTTAGAAGCTTCTACAGGCCTAAATATTGGAAGCATTTTCAAATTAACTGTAAATACCAGCATTTAAATCATTAACTAAATACGTAAAGAACACAAAAGTACTGCCAACATAAATAATTTGATGAATTCCATCATACTGGAGAGCATTTTTACGGTAATACAAGTAAACTAATAATGATAGTTGCAGGAATTCTATAAAAGGCAAATATAAGCTATTAGTAAAAACAAAGACCTATTTTTAAAATCTATTTATTTCTGGAATAAAACTCACTGTTAAATGAATTTAAAACACAACAAGCTTTTTTTGTCATAAAAGTGTTGGAAATAATACAAGATATTTAAGAAGTGTTCCTTCCCACAGCTTTTTGTGAGGATATTAGATTGCTCCTGACACCATAAACAGGTAAACAAACCAGCAATATTGTATTTAACCTTCACTAAACAACATAAACCAAATATGATGTGACAAAAACAACTCCAAAATCCTAATTCCACTTTGACTTCTTGTTCTACTGCATAAAGCTTGTTATGACCTCAGGTAAATAAACATACAGCAAGAAAAACACTGAGACCCACAAAATAAAGAATTGCCACTGTTGCTGTTTCCACCTTACTGAGGAAGCAAGATACTGAAGCTAATTGATAACTTTTTGGCAAGTGCTTTTAATAGCTACTATGGAGTAGTTTATGCAAAAGGGACTCGGACAACAGAAGTTGCTACAGAAACTCTACTACTTCCATACATTCTTAAATACCTGGTACTGAGGATGATGCAGTGGAGAACCAAGTAGGGCTATTTATATTTCCTTAAAGTTCCTGAATGGATGGCTAATGGTAATCATTAAATATTGTCATTATTTTCCTACTGAAAGATAAACAACATGCTCCAACTATAAAAAAATTAATTTCAAACATGTTCCATAACAAGGCAGGGATATTATGTTTATAAACTATATTTGCTTCATGTTTTATAGCTACTTCAATCTTTTGCATCAATACAATCATAGTACAGTAATACTTTTTTATTTCATGTACAAAAATTAATCACTTATATGCTTTACAGAACAGCCACAGTTAACTTGATGAAGTAGCTTAAAAGAAAAATGTGGAAGTTTTATTTCCTTAACTAGTACTTTCACAGCTACAATGTATCTCTTTAAAAACAAACATTATTCCAAATCTATTTTAAAGAAGAGATCACATATTGGCTGATCCTTAATTTCAGGCTGATGTTTATAAAAGATAATTGTCAAAATTCCTGAAGATTCTATTTAAGAGATTCACTCAGAAATTAAACATAACAGCCATCAGCCACTAATCAACCGCCCCCATCCAGTGACATGAGGGGGTGTTGGTCCTGAGTCTGCTGTATCATTTGTCCCAAAAGACTACTCAGAAGTACTGATTTATCTGACAAGAAACAGCAATAGCAGATATTTACAGCCCTGGGCACTAATATCAGAAGCAGAATGCACTATGTGTGAAACATGAGTCACAGGAAAAGTGAGCAGAGCTCATGGCAAAACAGCTCTGATGAATTGAGTTAGTTCTAATTGACATTAGGGACAAAATAATGGCCAAGACTTGTCTTTTTCTGCAACTCATGCTAATACATGCAGAAGGGGATTATTTCTGGAAACTGTGCTAAATTAAGTCCAGCAGGTTGTTCTGCTAAAGTGAAATTAAATATTAATGTATTCATTTCAATAAACATTTCTGGGCTACCACTGATTGATCAAATTACAATTCTAATCATACATTTTCATTCCTTTAACAACTGACTCATGGAATTCCAAACTGCAAATGAGGTCTAGTCAATGCATTTCAATTATTTCATATTCCTGTGACCCAAAGGCATCATCACTGTGATGGCAAGTTTCACAACAGGTTCACAAACAACAGCTGTGAACTGAAAAAGGCTCAAATCCAAGCTGCATTCTTGCAAGTCCCAGTGATCAGGTGTACTGCTTTACACAGCATGAGAAAAAACACTCAGAAGTCACCTAAGACAGTATGGAAGAGCTGCTTAGAGAAATCTTTCCTGTTCAAGGCACATGCTTTTCCTACTTTTAATAAAATCTTTTACTATGTGCAACTTTACCTCAATTTTTCCTGCCATACAAAATAAAAAATTGACTTTTCAGATCAGAATGTTTGTGACAAGGAGGGGAGGCAATGGATTCCTTTTATTTTTCCTATAAATCAATTGCATCCTCTCAGTGGTAATGTACAGTAAGGCTTTTGGAAATGGGATGCTTGAAACAATGCCAAGAACTTCCCCATTCAAAGAAATACTTGCAAATACCAGTCAGAGCTCTCCACCCATCAGGCTGAACTCTGAATACTCTATGGCTTCCCATGAATGAACACTTAAGAAAGGGTTCCCAAATACATTCTTAAATGGACTTGTTTCCACAGCCTGTGCTTTCTTTGAGACAAACAGTTAAATTGTGCATGACACTGCATGCTTATAGTTACAATAAGCATACACACGCTTCACCTAAATTTTTAATACATGTGGCAAAAAAAAAGAGAGGTTATTGGACAGCCAGCATTTTCTGTAAAAAGCAACAAATCTAACTTCTAATTAAGGTCAGAATTTTACAAAAGGTGTTTAAAGATTTCAAAGGCTAAAGGAAAAAGAAGATGGAAGGAGGTCAACTCCTGCAGTGAAGCCTTCCATGTGCTTTGGCAAAGCACATGAACTTTAATTAGCTTTCACTAGAAATCAAGAGCTGATTCACAAGAATTGACCGCCTTAATAATTTGAATGAATGGACAGAAAACATCTCTATCTTTTCCTCCCATACTATGACTTTAATACTATTTAATATATGAGAGACCCTTTCCAAGGAAGTCATCCTCATTACAAACCAAGACTTGAGCATTACTGCAAATCAGCTGAAATTCTTTGCTATTTTGAAACTCCTGATTGGAAGAAGGATCTTACAACAAGATAATATCAAAATCAATTAATATAATAAAGTAAAAAATATTTAGAATTATATTCCAAGAACTTATCTCTAAAGAAGACTTTTAACAGAACTAAAATAAATCCCACCACCCTTTCACCTTTGCCATTCTTCTCTTTGCAATTTTCAGATTCTTTTCCCATGTCAATTACTAGGTTTGACTTTGTTCTTCAGGATCAGTTAAACAAATGTAATCAATTCCGAAGAAACACACAAGACTTTAAGGTCCTGCTTGCATAGTTTTACCTATTCTGCAGAAATTATGTAGCTGCTTTGACCTTTTGGAGAGTGAAAGTGCTTGTAATCAGAAAAGTTATTTGACTTAAAAGACCATAATTTTTGTGTAAACATAAAATTTTTATGAACATATAATTTTTATGAAAACATCCAATAACAATTAGCTTGCATTTGAACAGTGTCATGTTTCTCTCAAAGAACCACAGGCAAAAGTTTGTGTCATTAATAAAGTTTCTGCAATAATTACTGCAACACAAAGAATTCACATTGTCTAAATACTGATGGTTTCTTGCATCCCTCCCAGTTTAAACACACAGTAATTAAAGAGGGACCTGTAGTTTGTTCATGATTGAAATTTCCAAATTGGAAAAGGGGTGGATACTGCACACATCCCTAGATACTTCTGAGTATCACAAGTGATACAATTATTTATTCTGTAAGCCTACACTGAAGAGAAATTACCATTTTTCTCATAATGCTTTGTGTTTTATACATTAGTGCTATAATGTGTAAAACACAATGCTACAATTTTTAAAAAAAATTGTCTTTCAAATGTGTTAACATAGGTTCAAAGCAACACCTGAGATTTGTTACTAGCAGACCTAGTAACTCAATCTAAATGCTCCAGACTTACATTTCACAGCAAGAAATCATTGCATTGCCATCAAACAAACAAACAATTGAAGAGGAGCAATTTGGTTGTGTCTGTGCTGAATAGGAAAAAGACCCTCAAGCATTAGCAAGTGGGTTACTTTTCCCCTCCCCACTTGTATTGAAGTGATTGTATCAGCACCATTAGTATTTTAGGTAACCTTTCCCTAAAGGCTGCAAAATTTGGAGAAGAGCTGTTTCTACCATGTTGCATCTTATGAGAGGGGGAAAGGAATAACAGTAATGCATCCTATTTCCTCTTCCAAAGAGCAAAAAGCAAATAAAAATACTACAAAAGATTTTTGTGATAATCACCAGGCAAAGACAATTTACAACTGAAAAGTCTGTCTTAGCTGAAAATTGAAAATCATTTACCTACTTGAACATGAAGTTCAAGAACTTTAGGATAATAGAATAATTGGAAAACCTACACAGAAGGTTTTCAAGAAAACCCCTTAAATAGTGTCAAATGACTTAAGCATAGTAAAATGTTAATGTTTTAATAGTGGAATTTAAATAAGAGTGGAATTTAAACAAGCGTAATTTTAGTATTGATTTCACTAAGAACAGATGAGGCCTCTTCCTTTACAAAACTTCAAGAAAGGTACAAAAGAAGTAGATTAATCAAGAACTCTAACACAGCTCACTAGCATCAGAAACTAAAATTCACAACAATGGCAACCTACATATGACAAGACAGAATCATTACAATCAATATTTCCTTAGAAAGGATATTACAGAGCTTCTGGATTAGTGTCCCTACATATTCTGTCAGAAAAAAAGAGTACCTGTACCCCAAAACCCCAGTATCTACAACCATAAGCCTATGATTTAAACTGAATACCAGCTTTCACTCTTGCTGAATGAATCCCTGACACAGGCAGAACAAGAAGTGTAAGCATGCAAATCTGCTAACTTTCTTTTCCTCCTCTCTGTGGCAAAAAAAGCAAGCACACATTAAAAAGAAAAACCAACCCAAACTAAAATCAAACCAGTGCCACTCAGGAGTAAAACCCCTGAAACAACCAAAACACAAACAAAGCAAACCAAACAACTCCAACACAATCTGAATTTGACACTGCAGACAGTGAAACACTGTGTATCAACTATTTGGTACCATCAACAGCAACAGAAACACGTGCCAAAAATCACAGACGCTCCCTATGAGGGGCAATACGTGGTTTTGATAAAATAATTCTCAAGCTGCAGAGAAGAAGAAAGCCCTCAAAAGGAGGGAACTCATTTCACTCTTCACCAGGAGTCAATGCTCTTTTTGGGACTACCAGCTTTTGAGAAGCTGAAGTATTTTTGCAGCAGTATTTATCTCTTTTTGCCTAGTTACCTAGGGATGTCTGTCAGTTATGGATTACTGGCAGTAATGAGAAAGCCTCAGGGGGTTGAGTGCTCCCTGTCCACAGCACAAAACACAAGCATGGGCCCCACAGCAGTTGCACTATCAGGATGAAATTTGGCATGTAATCCATCAGAACAGTACTATCTATAAGGATTCTTCATCCCTTTTTACCCAGACTATGCTCCAGGGCAACTCCCTTCACAGCTAAAGAAGAAAAGCCAGCAATATAGAATTATGGGGAAAAATTGGGGCCATCAGGATATAGCACAAGTCAGTTCCATGGCAGATATGGTGAATCCATTGATTCTTTGAAACAGAAACTCCTGAAATATTGTAGTAAATTGCTTCCAAGTGAACCTGTAATTAATAGTAAATCTCATCTCCCCCAAGGCTATTAGAAACTACAGAAAACTATACCTGCTTAATGTTTCAAGTCACTTTAACAGAATTATAACCAACTAACACTGATTCCTTTCCCATCAATGTCACATGAAAGATTGAAATGCAATTTTTAATAGCACTCACAGGATCTATGAACATTGATACATGGGGTACATTATAACAAGAAGAGGATGAATTCATCTGTTGCAGTGTGTGTCTAGTCATTGAAAAAGTAAATTACTTTCCCATATCCAATTAAGAATGGTGCAAAATTTATAGAAAGTGGTTCTGAGAATCAATTTTACATTTAGCTTCAGTGTCTGCAGAAGTGCAATCTGTGTATATGGATGATATCTGACTGTTGCAGGAGATATTTATAAGTACTTCCAACAAAGAAAAAGTTAATGATGTACTTACTGCATGGGGTGTTTGGTCTGCTCACAAGCTGTGGGAATGAAAAGATAGCTGACATTTCTACTTCATGGTTCTGATTTTGATCCTTTTCTTCAGTCTGGTCAGCCCAAGCTACTGATTTTTGTCTCTGAATCAGCTGCTCAACGTCTGCATATTCAGTCTCACTTAAGTCATTTGTCAGCCCAGCTTCTTTCAGCATCAGGTGCTGCTTGCGAAGCACTGGAAGTGCAGTATTTAGTACTCTGTGAAACAGCAAGAGGCAAGACAAGTTCCCTTGAGAAAACACAATTTTAACCCAGAAAACAAAAAGTTTGAGAAGAACCTTGCTTCTGTTTCAATTAAAACTAAATTCTCTAAATAGGCATTGTCAAGTTACAAGTCAGAATGTAAGTCTTATCCCACCTGCCATGAAATCATACTTACTTTTCTGTTTGCTTGTTATACTGATCTTGAAGAGACACCAGAGCCAACATGTGTTCAATCTGGGCTTTAAGAGCCTGAACTTCTAGATTTAAATGGCAATACTGCAGATCTTGACAAAGTTCCTTTAGGAAATTAGTAATAAAAATGACAATCAAACAGCTGTACATCAAACTGATGGAAAGAAACTAAAAATTTAACTAAAAATAATATTAGATCAGTAAAGATGGAGTGGAGCTATATTATTATAATAATGTTTTACAGTAGAAAAGTATTAATTATTTGATTTTTATTTACATGCATAAATATGAATTTGTAGATTCCTTTGACCAATAGTGTGTGTGTGCTGCAATCAGCATTTAAAGTCCAACAGGCCCACATGGATGCTTATCTATGCATGCCCAAACACGTTTGCCTCTTCCTGTATACTCTTTCCATATACTTAATTTTATTTCAATTATTAAGCTGTTCCTAACTCAGAGGTTTTACCCTTTGTCCAATTCTCCCCATCCCCAACCATGACAAAGTGAAAGGTGTTTTACTTTTGGGATGCTCCCATCTGGACCCAGGAGGCGCATTTCATTCTCCACACGGTGCAGCCACTTGGTGTTCTCCTCAAAGAGATTGCTCTGCTCTTCCTTCTTCTTCTGCATGCGGACATAGTGGCTGTCCAGTGCTGCAAGCCTCAGATCCCGCTTGCAAGTGGCCTGAAAAAAAAAAATCCCACCCCCCAAACCATCAGCATTTAAGGTGGAAACTTTCAAATAATGTTCACCAAATTGTCTTTAGATATAAAGATTTTTTTCCTTACTTTGATATAACATAACCAAATAATTCCTAAGTCGAGTATGTGCTACAAAAAGCCTACTAAAGGATAAAGCACTGAGTAAAAAGGAAAATCCTGTATGTTCAAATATCAAACTCTTCTGTTGTTTGCACTGTTTCTGAAATATTCCAACTAGAAGGCACAAACCCAGCAAGAGCAAGCTGGATATAAGCAAGGCAGTATCCTTACCAGGCAGAGGGCTCCCTTTATCCATTTAGAAAAGGCCAACCATACTCTGCTCTTAACCTCAAAAATTAGATCATTACATCAACAGTCACAGAGGAGTGATAATCTCTGTTTCCCACTTGAATGAAACATTTATCGATTAATTAATTACACAGTTACTTAAGAAAAATTAACACAATTCTAACAAAATGAAGAGATGATACCCTGCACTACATTACAGAAAACTCACCTTTTCTACTCTTTCTTCAGAGCATATCAGTTGAATTTGTTCATGACATTGATTCTGGTAATATTTCTTCAGTGTATTTTCTTTCAGTTTCTTTTCCACCTTGAGGTACTCTTTTCTGATTTCTTCACGATTTGCAAAAACATTTTTAAGTATTTCTCTGTACCTAAAACCAAAGGATAATAACTAATTATTTACTGAAGACTTTTTATGACCATCTCTTTGGTAAGGGAATTTTTAAATCTAAATTAATAAAACAAAGAAATGAAAAGGAAATGAGTAAAGCCTAATATAGATAGACACTAAATAAAATGTCAGCACATCAGTAAGAATTTTACGTACTTGAACTGATAATGGGATGGGAAATTTGGAAGGAGTCACTAAAAATAAATCCTGTTATAATTATGAAGACAACACTGGGATTTAAAAGGAGTATGTGAAGGAGCTTTGGATGCCTTTCTCTAACTCCAGAAGTTGCTAACTACCTATGTTCTCTACTTGTTACATCTATTTATTAAACAGATAAGACTACTGTTGCCATAGACACACAAGGTGCTCAAAACCCCGCAAGCTATCCTCAAAGAATAGGAGAACCACAAAGGTCTTTGGATGCTCACTTTCCCTCAAGGAGCTGTATAATTTCCATCACTTATAGAGGACAAAAATCAGAACATTTCACCATGTTTTAACACGAGGGGAAAAACCAAACTGTGGTAGATGGTACTCGAGGAGTTACTGAGTAACCACTTCTCTGGTACCCCTAGTCTGCCACACAAGCCAGAGTAACAAGAACAACTCCTGGAGGCATTGCCATACTGCCATGTAACTTTCACTGGTGGCACCTCTTCACACCTGAATACTGAAAATGTACAGTAGAGAATGGCCAAAAAGATACTGTACATATCAATAATAACCAACCACATACACAAAGTATTTCATTGTATCCTATCTTGTTAGAACTTTACACAAAAACCAAAGTTTAACATGCAAGTGTTCTAAAGACATGCAATATTTGAGGTTATGCAATTTGTAGTATTAAAAAACCTCATAAAATTAGAACTGTAAAAATGGTAAAAAACCCCATGTTCAACTCCAGAACAAGCTGAAGAGACATTCTTGTCATGCAATTGACTTCTTGCCAGTGTTTCAGAAGTAGCAATTCTATTTCACAGTCTAAAGTTTGAATAACTAAGTCTTTTATTCTATTCTGAGTGTTTTATCACTCACCTTTTAAAAAGAAACAGAATTAAGAAAATAATTCTTCTCCACAGATTTAGCAATACAAGAGCTTTTCACTGAGTGTCTAGAGGATGCTATCATATCTAGGTAAAAAAAAGTGTACTAAAACACTCACAGAATTCATAAGAGCCATTTCTTTAAGGAACAATAGCAGGTTAATGGTTAGAGTATATGATCTTTGAGGTCTTTTCTCACCCAAAAGATTCTATAATAATGAAACAGCCAGCTGCAGAGTATCAGAGCTTAACCCTACACTGCTCCTATCTCTACAGCTTTACTACTGATTGTACTGCCTGCAGAATTTTTGTCCTCCACAGAAACATGCTTCTTCCCAGCTGCTTGGCAAACACAGCAATAAGGAACCAAAGTGAATCCTCCCAGTTTCCATCACAGTAGAAAGTTGGGCATAATTCAGGTGAGGATGGAGATTCTGCTTCTTTTTACCCTCCTTATGAGGGGCCTCTGCTGGAAAACCAACCTTTTGTGTACTTCTATTCACCAGTGTTCCCAATACAGCATCAAGTACAGAAGCCTTTGTGGATTCAGCCTTTCAATGAGCACATTCCTGTTCTTATGGAGTTACCTTTACCCTCTGGTGTGCACTGTAGAAATGACAAAGTCGCCCTGTAGGCACACTGAGGGTATGAGCCCCCCTACACTACCTGGTGTCCAAGAGCTCAAGGACCTGCTGGTTGTAGTTATGGAGCCAGTGCCCACTGTTTACCCTAAGAGGCTCAAGACTTGAAGGGTTGGCACACAACCCATCTCCAAGTTTTAGCAGAAGAATACATGACTTTTAGATTTGACGAAGCAAATGATGCTTCTTTGGTGATGCAAAAACCATGGGTGGGTGGATCTAAACACCAGATCATGCACAAGGCTCTCTTCTCTGTCCCCACTAAAAGGGAGAAGGCAGCACAGTGCCTTCAAAAGCTGTAAATGAATGGGAGAAATCAATTCATTACCCACACCACAACAGTATGGTGAACCTGGCAGGATACTCATGAGAAGGAAGAGAATGAGACAGGCACATAATTCCTGGCATCCAGAGGGACTGGGACAGGTTTACATGTGGCCCTTTGGATTTTCCCTAACAAATATTCTCTGACCAGCAAACCTTGGCACAGAATACATCCAGCCTTTTGAAAAGATATTTTAGAGACCTTGCCCTTGACTGACTCTTCCCACACACAAAGAATGAAATAAAGGGCAAATCACAGGAAATTAAATCAATCTTAAAGACATACAGTGCAAAAATATGCAGGAAAACTGTCAGAAATATCAACATGACTTAGAAGCCCACACTTCTTTTGAAAATTTAATTTAAATAACCTGAATGAAAGAGTTTATTGAAATGTCTGCAATGCCACTAAAATAAAATGCAGAGAATATCTTGCTTTGAATGGGTTCTTACTATACCTCAGAAAGCTTTCCAGGTTAAAAAACAGCATATTCAAAGGGCCAAATAAGAAAAAAAAGTTAGCTCAATCAACTTAGGTGAGCAATTGTCAGAAAGATGAAATATGCAGAGACCATCCAGAAAGTCTTTCTCTCCAAAACCTACCCTCTTCATGGAATACAACGATTTCTGCAACAAATTGCTACTTCACATTTTAGTTTGTTACTCTTTGTGTTCTCTCATGGGACTGTCGCAAGAGAAAAGATAGACAGGAACATTACCAAGAAGAAAAAGAGGCCAAGAAATATTAAAGCAATAGAAAATAAGGAATCTACAAACATAAAGCCATCCCTTTGTAGAAAAACTTCCAGTTTCTGTCTCTCTCCAGCCTTGCAGCAAAGATCCCACTTGAGATAGTGCCTGCCAAGAGTGGCAGAGCTGCTGTCACTTATGCAAACGACATTCTGCCTACCCACAAACACAACCTGTTCAGGAGCTGTGCTGGGAGCCAGCACTCAGATGCTCCTTCCTGTCACATGGCATTTCCTACGTCCTCCCCTTTCGTTTTAAAACCACCACCAAGTTGTTCTGAACAGAAACAACACGTTGGGCAAAGCCATACCTAGATCTAAGTAAAGCAATGTTAAATTGGGAAAACCAATACTGGAAAGAGTAGGTTTGTTTTACAAATGCTTTTACAATTTAGACAAACTCCAGCTTGGAAGCAAGTTTTACAAATGCTTTTACAATTTAGACAAACTCCAGCTTGGAAGCAAATATGAGTCATTTACCTTTCTATTTCTATTCGCTGGTTGTTTGAAAGTTCTGCAGTATTATGATTTTCAGGAATGCTTGCTTGCTTTTCTTCATATTCTCTCAGCTTCTCCTTCAACATTAGGATCTAAACCAAAAGAAGCACCCTTTAATTGAAATATGGTTTTGGGTTTATTTCCCAAAATTGTCATTCTGTGCTGATATTGAACAGCTTTACAAATGGCAGCAGGTGATATTCCTCTTAGAAGACAAAATTTTTTTACTTCAAAATACATTAGACCCTTATAGACTTAATCCCATTAACTCTTTTTTTATATTCAAAGTTAACAGTTAACCTTTCAACCTGTTAACAACAGATTTTTTACATACCTCTTTCTTTTGTTCATTGCAAATTTTAGCATACTGGCTTATGTGACTGTCCAAACTCACAACGTTGCTCTTCAACTGGAAAGAAACAAATCAGAATTTAAAGGCAGCTCCTCAATGTTTTCATGCATAATAAGCACAGTGTGTATATGTAGCACATAGTTACACATACACTACGTTGTGAGGAAAGAGTTTAATACAATTCTGACTTGCACAATGAGAAAACGACTGTCAGCTTTTGCTGTCATCTGTTGCACACCCGTGGCCAGGACATTTCCCTCAACAAACCAAGAATAATTAAATTTACATATGCAAGCACATTTTGCATTTTTTCAGATTAGTTTTACTATTCAAATGTCTGTCTTGTGCATTTTATTATAAAAGCTACCTTTAAGTACACAACAAATGGAAACTACAGTGAACCTTGTATTACGGAAAAAGAATTAGGAGTTGCAGCAAAAAAGATAATGAAAAATAAAATTAAACAATAGAGAGCAGAAAAGGACATCCCAGCTTTTCATTTATCAAGACAATCTCACTGAGCTTCTTGACTCCAGCTGAATTCTACCTGTACAATCCTGGACTGGCTCTTGTAAAACTGGCCAGAAATTTCTTTAACGTACATTACAGCTCTCTGAGAAAGTAAGAGCAAAACAGTAAAAAATAATGTGAATTCTACTGGCTGAGAATTATTTCTAAATCTCATGCTCACAACACAAACTGTTTCAAAGTGGCAGCATCATATCACTAACAAAGCTATGGGGCTTTTGGGTCAGATCTACTTTGTATCTGCTACACCTGCCAGTCAGGTAAGGAAGAGTTGACCATAGAGAAAGAAGATAGAACAAATTTTTGAGTCAGAAGTGAAGGAAAATACAAGAAAAATTATTTCTTTTGGAATATTGTAATAGTAGATTATTGTACTTTGACAAGAGAACAGTAAAAGCAATATACTCACAGAAGACTTGATATCCTTTGCTCGGTTTGCATACTTCAGAGTGTTGTAGGTATCATCATAAAACAAAGAGGATGGGCTAATAGCAGCTATCATGATTGTTCTGCAATTTCCTCCAAGAGAATCCTTCAGCAAACGAGTCAGCTTGCTGTTTCGATAAGGAATGTGCTTCTTGCTCTAAGAAGAGTGAGAGATATTGGTAAGGTTTATTTAACTGTACTTCAAATAAAAGTCTGCTTAGAATGTCAACAGTAACACAAACCATGAGAAACAGCCATGAAAATTTTCTTTGACACAAGTAATTTTCCTTTGAAGTATCTGTACATCTTAAAAAGTTTAAGCCTCTTGGAACTGTTCAACACCTTTGCAACACATGTATTATCTGGGTTATTTCCTGATGCCTGGATATGTAACTCCTATTTCTGTGATGGAGCAGCTAACAGAAAAAGTAAACTACATTAAATTACATTGAGTTTACAAAATCATCCAGATTGGGAAGGACCTCTAAAATCCCTCTAGTTCAATCCTTCTGCTCAAAGCAGAGACAGCTAGAGTAAGATGGCAAAGACTATGCCCAGTAGGGTTTTGATTACCTCCAAGGATGGAGATTTCACACCTTTCCAGGCAACACATACTCTGCTTTGTGAAGCTACAGAATTTTCATCTCATTATACCAAGCCGGGCACCAGGAACCCAATCCCTTATCAAGTAAATCAATGTGATTTTTCCATGTGTCTGTGGCACAGATTTTAAACTCCACCCTCCCCTCCAACAAGATGGTGACAAGGACATGCAGCATCAGGAAGGGAAATTAAACCTGATTTTCTCCTGGCATATTTGAAGGAGGAATTTGCTAGTTGAGCAGAAGGACAAAAAGAGTGTTATGGTAGACAGTGGACTTCACTTATGCAAAAAATCAGGAGGCTTTATCATTCTGCTACACAACTGTACCTATTCCTTGCCTTGAGCTGGTGAGCCAGATCAGGAGATTGACTCATTGCTCTGAGCAGGGATGTGCGTGTGTATGGATGTATGTGAGATCCCAAAAGTACAACTTGGAAGAGATACTGTTTTATCCTACAAAAGCTGCTCCCCCCTAAGATTAAAGGTTAATTGTAAGGTTATTCATGTACTCATGCAATCTTCTCTACATATGCTTGATTTTGAACATAAGAAAAGCAGGTACCATTCATCTTTGATACTATCCTTAGGCAGCTGCACATAATTTTTGAGAATTTTCTCTCACTGGGACTGTCTTTCAGCTATCACAAATATGATGGTAGAAACCCTTAAGACAATCTTACATGAGAATGATGATGTGAGTAGCACCAACAATGTAAACCACATTATTCCATCAGCTGAGCACTTTTTAAAATGGTTTCTGAACTGCATGGGAAAGCAGCACCTACCTTAGGATCTGCCAGTGCATTAATGACATTTCCAAGAGCAAGCAGGGACCTGTTAATGTTTGTCCCCTCCACAAAGCGAGCCCCCTTGGCACTGGTGGCTTTGGCTCGCTCAGACCCTGCCAGGTCAATCAGAGACATTTTGGCAATACGAATATTCTGATTAATACTGGCTGTTTTATCTTGCTGCCGTAGGTAAATCTACAATAAAAAAAAAAAGAAGAAAACAATTAAAAAATAACTACTAACTAATCTAAGTAGTAAAATAATTTCATAGGATAACAACTGTTTTAAGACATTAGTATTGGATATCCTGCCACTTTGCCTTCACTTAACTGAATCACAAGGTACCTCCTTTTCTTGCTCCTGATGCTCTCTCCCTTCCTGCTGCAGAGGATTAAGTGACCAACTGGCCCAGGATCACAAAGCAGCAAAGATAAGTGAGGTTTTTTACAGGAAAAATGAATTTCACAGCTCTTCTTCTGCACCAAAAATGCATACTACACTCCTGAACTTTCAATTGAAAGAAGTGTTCCTTTTTCAAATGCACATTTAGGAGTACACCATAAAGAAATGCAGAGGGATAAACCAGGAAAAGGCTGACTCTTCAGTGATTTAGATTTAATTGTATCTTCCATGAATAGGAAACAATATCCATTTACTGCTATGAAAATATACTCCAGGATCTTTTCAAATATGATGCCTCCTGAAGCCACTTGCTTCATCCCATTTTTCCTGAAATTTCACAGTACCAAGATGCACAGCAAACTAAAAGCTTCTGCTGGTGAAGGTATTCTTTCTTCAGGTTTATAAGGAGGCAAGCAAAGCATGAATATACAGTCAGTAAGAAGAAACAAAGTTATCCTTAGATGGCTTTCTACTTTATACAGTATTTATTTCCCCTTCTCTTGTGCTGAGTGCCCTGCCATTTGTTAATATAATTAATAATGGTTAGTGACACTTGCATGAATGCCCTTCTGGACAGTGAATTAGAAAGGAGCTGCCATCAGCACAAGGTGACTGACTAGTAAAGACTCACCACTGCTGTGGCTTTAAGCTCTGTGCGTGAGAAATGAAGCCTTCACAATAAGGCTTCATCACAAGTTTCTAACAGAAAACAGATTGACAAGTATTGTGAAAGAATAAAATAAAATTCCTATGACGTGCCATGAAACGTAAATCTATTTCAAACAGATATGTTTCTATATCAAACAGTATAAGTTCAGTTACACTGTTTCCAGTATAATAGACAAAAAAAACCCCAAGAACCTCAGGCTGGGAACAGGCTACCAGAACAACACAATAACTATCATTAATGAAGGAGGGAAAGGTAGAGTGACAGCCAAACTCTGTTGTATGACTCAAGCTTTTGTAAAAATTCAAAAGATACAGGAAATGCCCCAAAGCAGAACACTCTCAATAGAACAGTGTAGCAATTCTGATTTTTCTCTCAGATGCAGTAATTGCCTGACCCAGATAGATATTTCAAACTTAAGACATATGGTACAGTAAAGCAAAACTTGCATCTTTAAAATCAGCTCAGAGTGTCCTGGGCCAAGACTTACCAACTTCTGAGTCAGTTTCAGAAAATATCCTGATTCCACAAAGTTAACAAGAAAAGCCAAAAACAACCTATCTCTACAAAAAAGCAACTCTTAAAATAATAGAAACTTTAAAAATAAAGAGCAATCATGACAGCACTGGGGATTTCTCACCACTTACATCTCTGCAAACAAAGACACAATTTCATTATGCAGAATGTCACAGATTTGTGGAAATATATGAGGAACTGAAGTGATTTACTCAATTGCTTGCCACTTGTAGAAATGCACTGAGAAAAAGCCTGCCAGATAATAAAATGCAGAGGTTTTTCCCAAGAGGTGAGGGAGACAAGAGATCCCAGCAGCAGGTAAACAAGCAGAAAGCAGCAGTTCCCTCTGGTCTGTGTGCAGCTCTGCACCTGGAGCCTTCCTGAAGGCAGCACACATCCATGACAGGGCAGCTCTCAAGCCAAACCACTTCAAAAGAACTCTTTGTGCAACCCTGTACAGCACACAACAAGGGCAGGCCCTGGGGGAAATTCAAAACAGGAAGGGCAATTGCTAACATAAGTTTAAGGTATATAGGAAAACAGAAGCTTTTAGAGTGGTAATGGCTTTTGCTCTGTTCCATACTTAGAAGATGTTTTTTAAAACTTTGTTATAGTTATTTAACATTGACTAAGTCTGTAGGTACTGTTAAAAACTTCCCAACACTTAAGTGCTCTAATACAAGGACCAGAATCCAATGTGTTTTAATATTTTTCAATCCAGAGTGAAACAAATAAGTCATTGAAGGTACTGCTTTGCAGTATGTAACAGCAAACAGGACCAAAAAAAAAAGACATTGTTGATAACAGGACTAGTTTCTAAATATCACAGGTTGCATTTAAAAAGAGAAGACAGGAGAATAAGGCAGTGTAGCCAACCCCAAAAATCTTGGGAGAAGTCTTAAGTTTTTGCATACTTGCACAACTCATTCAAAACTCATTTCTGAAAACTAAGAAGCATCATTTCAGTTTTCTAAAACTTGATCCATAGCAGGGTATTAGGAAATCACTTTATTGTAGAAATTAACATTAACCAAGTAAAATAAGAAAGCACTACTTGAGATTCTTAGTTTACAGTCAGACATAACTGCATTCTGTAAATTATTTTTCCCAAAGCAATGCTAAGCAACATCATGATACCAGACAGCTTTACAAATACCCCACCAATACCTTTCAGTTTATAAAATTACAATATGGAAGTCTATTAAAGCTTTAAATTACCATTTTACATAAGTTATTTCTTCAAAGGAATATAAGTTAAGAAGGTATAAGTACATATTTTATACATATAAGCTCAAACAATTGGAATTAGAGATCTTTTCACTGAATTCATTTCTTCCAACATAAACACTAACAATTACATCCTTCCAAGGACTAAGGAGTAAAAAGAAGAGTAAACGGAAAACCTTTAACCCCCTCTTCCCCAAACTGAGGTTCAGCACAGTTTAAAAGCTTCCCTTCTGTCCATCTTTAAACAAAACCTGCAGCTGCAGTAATGGCCACTGTTTCTGGCTGTACCACCTCACCTGAAAGACAGCATGGGAGCGGGAAGAGGAGGCATTCACATCTGTGGGATGCTGGGTCCTGTTTTTGTTCCCATAATCCAACATCTGAAGGATTTCCTCTGCTGATTTAGGCTTTAGGAGTAGAGCACATGACAAAGGCAGGATTCTTTTCATTTCCAACAACTATAGTAACACACTGATTCTAAAATACATTTGCTTTAACATTCACCTTCAAAAAAAGGCACTTCAAATAAATATTCTCAGCTGGAAAGCAGTAAGGTATGAGAAGCAAGCACTTAATTCCAGCAACATAAATCAGCAAAAATTTTTAGTTTAGAATTTAAACAAATACAAAAGATTCTCCATAGTTAGAATCAGCCTCTTTTAACAATGTCTGGACTTAAATTAGTATATCGCTATTGAATGCATTAGTACAAGAAAAGTTTTTTCCTCACAAAACTCAAGGTTTGGGAAGAAGGATGTTCAGAGGTTAGAATACAAACTAAGAATATTGCTTCCTGTCACAGCATGTAAATACACAAGGAAGCTGCAAGAAAATAGGTCCACAGGAATTGATATTCAGATTGGAAAACTAAGTTCTATCACTGACCTTACCAAAGAATTGCTGAGCTGGCCTGGAAAAGTAATTTACCATGGACTTCTTCAAATATAGTTATTTACAAACAAAAACAACCTTTAGATTTCACAGCTGTGTAGGGCACTCCAAGGTGGTAATGAAGGCAATGCCAAGATATTTTAGCCCAAAAAGAAATCTTCCAAAATCTGCTGCATGAGCATCAAGCCAACTGTACCCTTTTATAACAAGGACTGAATGCTTCTGTATTTGCATTCAATGAGACTAGCAGTTTTTTTCCACAATGTGCTTTTAACTAATTAATTAGATTTTCAAGTTACTGGTGCTTATGGCCAGAAAAAAAGCCACTAGGAAACGACCAAATTCCACACAGCTTTCAGAACAATGGGAATGTTTCTCAAATATCTCAAGCACATTTTAAGTTTCTAGAGATATTCACATACCTGATGCAGTGTCAGACCTTGAACTATCACCCCTTGCTGGCCATCCTCACGAACAGCCAGAGGTCCAGAGTTGACCAGCAGATCACGAATCTGTTCATTGTAAACCTTTGAGAGGGAATTGAGAAGATTTTGTTAAGATATCCTCCCATAGCTGACAGAATTAAATAAGCAAAAATCAGCAGTCTTTTTTAATACTTCTTTAAGACAAAGTAGTGAATTCATGCTATAATTTTTTTTACATTTTTCATATACCAAGCTTAAAGCATACAATTAATATTATTTCTTTTTAGATTTTAGAAGTAATTAGTTTTAGTAAATAATCTTCATTCTTTATTGAAAAAAACTTTTCTTTACAAAAACCAGTTTTGCAGTGAGCATGAATGCAAAGCATTTCTTTTTTCTCCACTGTACATCACGATCCATACTTCTGCAACACTTCTTAGTTCAAAGCTACTTTTGTTAAAATTTTTATGTCTCTTGTTTCTTGGTCTGTGAAAACATATGGCAATGCACACTCTCCCCTCCCAAGTACCACCTAGAGTCCATGAAGACTTTGAGGAAGCTGAAAAGATACCCATTTTACTAGCACCATTCAGCAGTGGTGCCAAAACATTGCCCTGTAAAATCACATCATCATTTTGTTGTGCTTGTCCAGTGTTATAGGATGTTACTGTGAGTCCTAAAACATTACCCTGAAAAGAAATTTCCTTGTACACATCAACAGATGCTGAGAGGCACGTAATTGGTCAGCAAGATACAAATCATGAACAATCAGTAAATATATCAGAAGTGGAGGTTCTTTTTGGGGAGCCTTCTGTAAATCAGCCCAGGAACACCAAGTTTGCAGAGCACAACACAGTTTCACTCGTGTAAGGACACATTTTGGCAAGCCCCAGAAGGGACCAGAGGAAAGCAAAATCAGCTTCTTTTTATTTATAAAATATGACTTATTAAAAGCAACATAGCAAATGCAAGAACTCACCTCTAAATAAGAGACAGCAACATCACATGTTTTATCATCTTTGATTTGATCCATGCGTTTATAAAGTGTCATCATGGTTAAATACATGACTCCAGGGTCTTCAGGAGAACCCAACATTGTATGAGTCTTTCCAGCTCCTGTTGCACCATATGCAAGCACTGAATTTTCCCCAAAAGACAGCAAAGCAAAACCATGTAATTTATTTGTAAGCCAATCAGGAAGACCAAAGTCAAATGAACATTTACAGACCTCTGTCATTCTGCACAACTGTTTCATAAATGGATAAAGTTTCTTACTTAGGCTTTACCTTTCAGATATATCATTAGAGCAAGATGTTTCCAAATAACATTTTTGAATTTTCAGTTCAAAAGTCATTCAGTGGTACATCTCATGAAAATATTATTTACTGACTCTCATAAACCTAAGCCATCAACTTACTGCTGATAAGTATTTAATTTCCTCACCACATTCCAGCAGCCAATTAAAAAACCCCAAGATCTTTAAGAGTTAATAAAGCAGTTACGTCACACACTCTGTGACACAACCGCCTCTGCTTGAATAACTCTAGATGATTCCCATATATTTCAGATCAATTTCCCAAGTCTATTATAACCTTTACACAAACTTCTTCTTAAAATAGAGTACAGCTATCCTAACTTCCACATGCTAAAAAGTTAGCTTTTCATAGCTACAAATTAAACCACAATGTTTTATTTCTATCTCAGGCTTTTTTAATGGCTCTGCAGCCACTGGACAGAACAGCAGAAACTTTGAGAAATTCACTTAACTTTTTTTTTTAACTAAAGAGGATAAAGAACAAAGTTACCTGTACAGTTATATCCATTTAGGAAGCCATCAATTAGATTTTTGGTAGTATGCTCAAAAACCTCCAACTGGGATGAGTTGTCATCAAAAATGGCATCAAACATGAACTTAAGATCCTTCCTTTGCCTTTTGTTAATATCCCGGTGGGTCACTCTCCTCCTGTTGAAGAAGCTGACTTCCTCCTCCTTAGGATCAAAGACCAGCACGTGCTGGTCGATGACACGGACCACCCTGCTGAAGCTGCCCTGCTTTTCCTTCTGGCTCTCTGGGCGCACTCGCACCACCACTTTGACATGGCTGCACACATCTTCTTCCTTGGCAGGAGTCATCCCTGCTGCCCCCCAGCTCCGCTCCCAGCGCTCTTTCAGGTCCAGCAGCCGAATCCTTTCTGCAGCAGACAAGAGAGGTTTTATTTGCAATAGGAGCCTTTCACTCCTGCCAGCAGCTCCCACGTTTGCTCAGGCCCCTGTGCTGGGCCCAAGGGCCGCCCCAAGGAGACTTTGGGAACTCCGCAATGGCCCCGAAAGGTGCCTGAACTCAGCAGCACTGCCCCA